GCTTTGCCGTTATGTATATATATGTGGAGTTGGAAAAATTCAAGCCATTTTGCTGTTTTAACTTTTGGGAAAGTCACCGGTGTTTCTGCATTTAATCGCTGTTCGTTCGTTTTTGCAGAGACCAGGTAATTTGCGAGTATCCGAGTGTCTTTTTCTACCTTTCTTTGTTGTGAGAATGTCTTCTGAAGAGACATTTAGTGACGGTAGAGTGAGGGGAAGGGTTGAGGAGGCAGAGAGTAGAGATTTGGGGGTGCCGTCGAACATTTTGGAGAGGGAGGATGGAAGAGAGCCGTGCTTTAACCTCGAGGAGGAAGTTGTTGGCGAGGTGGCAGGGTATGAAACAAGTTTGGAGAATAGGGGTAGTTTGGCCCATTTGGTTGAGAACTATGGGGTGCCCGGGCGTGTGCTGGTGAGGCCGGCGGGGAGTAGGGAGAGGGCGTGTTCGGCCCCAAGGGACCACTGGATGCCTCTCTACTCCCATTACTTGGCGGCTGGGTTGCGATTCCCTCTCCTAGACCTGTTGGTATGGTTGTTGTTGGAGTATGGTCTGGGGCTAACACAACTCACCCCCAATGCCGTTAGGTTAGTGGTGGCGTTTGCAGTGTATAGCCGAAGTCGGGGGGTAAGTTTTCCTACCGCTAATGTATTCAAGTACTTTTACGTCTTGAATGCTGGGAGTGGTAGGGAAAAGGGGTGGTTCTACTTTACGGGCCGGGTGGTGGGTAGGCAGAGGAGGGGTTTATTTAGTGCCGGGCCATCTTCCATCAAAGGATGGAAAGATAAATTCTTTTTTGCGGATGATGCGGAGTGGGATAAGACTGATGCTGAGGTGGAACACTTGAGTCGTTGGAAGACGAAAGGGTTAAGCCTCAACGAGTATAGTCTGACCTCGGGGGAGTTAGAGGATGTGGGGGAGTTGGAAAGAGGGGGTGTGGGTTTGCTGGACATTATGGAGTACACGAGCCAGAGGATGTTAGACGCGACTGAGATATATAGGCCGAGCTCGCAACTGGGAGGTGTGTGACTTTTAAATTGTTGATTTACTTTAAGAATTATGATCAGGGTTTAACCTTGCTTTGTTTTGCAGAAGAGATGAACAAGTTTCTGGACACAGCTGGTGGAGCTGGGATCCCGAAGAAGGGAAGAGGGAAGAGAGGCGAGGCCAGGAGGCGGGTGGAGGAGGTTTCACTGCCTCAAGTTGAATTGGATAACTTAGTCATCACTCAACCTGGCCACGCTGGGGGGGAAGTGACGGTTGCTGAGGAGGGGCCCATTGTGGCGAAGAGGAGGAGGTTGGAGCAACAAGGGGCCGTGGTGGAATTGGAGGAGGTGCCAGCGCCTGCGACTTGAACTCTTCGCCTGGAAGGGACCTCGTTAGCCTCAGCTGCTGAGTTTGCTGCTACGCTTCGGGAGCACGGGTACATCCGAGCGTAGACGACCAGTTTTTATGACTCCGGGATGAGGAGCACAGCGAAGAGGTTCATCAACACCTACTTCCCGGAGGTGGATCGCCAGCGCGCGAAGGACGAGGTGGCTGCCCGGGGTTTGGTTGGCGTCGTCCGCCAAACACTGGAGGTATGATCTCTTTGCCCTGGTTGGAGTTTAAGGATTCTGATTTTGTTAAGTGTTTGACGAGTTGGGGCGGTTTGATCATGCAGGCTGTTAATCTTGTGAATGCTTTGGCCAATGAGCATCACGAGAGTTTAAAAGAGAGGAACCATATGAGGAAGGAGAACGTCGAGCTCGTTAAGAAGAGCGAGGCTGCCGAGGCCGAGGTGGCGAAGTTGAAGGCTGAGATGGAGGAGCTCCGGAAGGAGAACGCTACCCTCAAAAAGGACTCGGAAAACTCGTACCAGAAGAGGAAGATATGTGAGGCCGAGTTGGAGAAGAGGGAGAAGGAGGTGGAGGAGGTGGGGAAGGTGGTGGCCGAGTTGGAGCTTAAGGTTCACAACTTAGTTGAGGAGCATGTGGAGGGGTTCCTGAAGTCCAGCACCTTCGAGGATATCGTCAACCTCTATCGCCTTCCTACTGCCATTTTGGCCTTCTCTGACTGCCGGAAGAAGGTAAAACTGGTGTATCCTGATGTCGATGTGACGA